GGATGACATAATCGTTTCGTTTAATTAGAAATTCGTCGTTACTCGCGAGCAGTATGGAGAAGGTATATGCATGCTGCCTATCGATGTTCTCGATTCCTGCGTTTAACGTTGGTTTCGACCTTCTCTCTCACGTTCCGCGGGATCGCGTGGAAGTTAGAAATAGAATTTGCGAGGAGTGACGTACGTTTCTTTGCCTCGAAAACGGTGACTTGTCGACCCGTGGATTTCTCGCTTTCTCCGGTGTAATAGGTTGGATGAATAAATTCCTCAGTAATATGACGTTTTTGTAAAAATTTCTGTGATATTTAATTTACTAATTTACTTTTATAGAATATACTATCTTCCCTCAGTCATTTCAATTATTTAAATTAAAATAAAAATTAGCGATTTCGTAATTACTTCTTAAGCCTTTTGACAATTTTATGAGTTTTAGGAGTAATATGTGTGCAGATGTGCAAAGATATAAAAATTTTATTGTTTGAAAATAACGTGTAAAAAAAAAACTTACCTTAACTTATAAAGTTAATATAATCCAGTTACATAGAACTAAGTATAAAATAGAGTAGAATTTTCATCGATTAGTTACATATAGTAGGTTTTATATCCCTATACACTCTTTAAACTTATTTTTAAAAATTTTAGCAGTTTATTATTCTTCTAGATTGGATGTACTATAAATTCCCTATGGAATAAAATATATTTATATCTCTATGAGTAGTTTCTCTACAATCATCCACAAAGTTATCTCGAAGATTGTATGTGGCACGATTTTCGTGATATTCTCAGTACACTCGAATGTTCTCAGTGCAACAGCACTCGTCAGTCGGGTCAGTGCAAATATTCGATTGAACTAGCGACTCATCAACTCACCATCCTCAGTCTTAAATGTTTCGAACACGTTCTCCTAGAACAAGGTCCATTCCTCCAAAACACAAGCGTGTTGACGCTAATAATAAACTAACGGAGACGTTTCTCCTCGGTAACTCTCTCTGTCGAGGACGTGGCTCGCGTTCTCCACGACTAAAAGGAATCGGACTGAAGCGGAGAGAGAGAGCGCGCGAGAGCATGGAAGTGAGAGAGTAGGGAGAGGGAGAGAGAGAGAGAGAGAGAAAGAGAGAGAGAGAGAGACAGAGAAGGAAGAAAGAAAAAAACGAAAAACGTAACATAATCGCGGTCCATTCGCTGACTACACGCTTTATTTCCTCTCGTTTACGTCCAACCACTCGGCCGTATTAGGCTCGCCTGGAGATCTTGTGACCTTAAATGGCCTTTTCTCCTGAACTCTGATCATCGATATATGCCCATTGTTCTGATTCGAAGAATTTTCTGAAACAAAATAACAGCACGAAAGTTAATTGCTTTAATTTATCATACGACTGTTTGGAACGTGTAACCTCTAATACTAAGAAATTATATGGAATATTAAAGAAGAAGGAGATATTGATTGGAAAAATTAAGATTTTGATTTAAGAATCAATATCTTTTTTTTCTAATCAATTTTCTTATTTATTGTATACCTTTTTAAGTATCGAGTTGGACTTGAATATAATGTCTTATACAATAATAGTTCAAACGCAGACAATTTTATGAGTTTTTAGTATTAACACTAATATCCAAATTTTTGAAAATGGAACATGACGCCATTAAGATGAACAAAGTAAGCATTTAATCAATAATCTTATTTCATATTCATATTTCCTATGCTTCTGTTTCTTATAGTTTTTTCCTTATGTATCTGTCCCTTACAGCGGCACTCTGCATGTTAAAATGTAATTTTGTACACTTCTCAACATCGTCGATTGTATTTGCTATATCCACTATATTCATTAAAAATGGAAAGCAGGTAAATCAATCGTTTTTATTCGTCCAGGCTAGTTGCTTGTAAAAGCACTTAACTATATCACTTTTGTAATTAAAGATATGAAAAGAAATTTGTCTTCTCGATATCACGTACAACGCATCTAGCTTCTCGAAAAGACGATAACAGGGTATTTTTACTTGTGATCTAATCGGCTGCCCGTTTTCACGTAAAAAAGAAACCGGTTTCGATAAACATTACTGTTAATACTATTAACGATGACTCCTTGATGTGACATGCGTTGTGTGGGCGTTATCTATCCAAAACGGAAGTGAAACCAAATTGGTACTCATCCTTTCTCACCAATCAACCATATGACCTATTTTTGGTGTCCTACTTGGAAAAAGTTTTTTTAGGGTATATACTTTTTCAATGAAAATTTTCAATCTCAAATTTAGGTAATTAGTACTCACCAAAATCCTAGAATTCCATTTTATTTTTATAATTCATCTATTTTCAAAATTGTTCCGTTTTATTTGTTTCATTCTTTTTCCAATTCACGTCTTTCTTGTTTAATTATTATTGATTATTTTTTCCTTTGTCGTCATCTAAAAATATGTTAACTGCATTAGTGAAAAGTTAGACTGCCTGTTCTTAAGACTCGCCACTTACCATGAAGAAATCAGGAAATGGCTATAAAACGGCGTTTGTCGTGAATTTGATTCAAAAGACCATGACACAGTTCTTCGTTTATATCGAGCCGGTGCTGACATTCACCCAGTCACAGTCTGTCGTTTTATGGATAACCATAGCCGCGTGAACTTTTCTCCACTTCTAGTTCCCTCTTGTCCTTACATATGCGTTTTGATCGCAAAAAGTGCGCGCAAAATTAATATTCCAACATATTGCAATGAAAAATTCATTGATTACTCATTATTGTAATATTACCTAATACTATGCAAATTTTTCCTCAGTTACGATTACATTTAAATTGACAGAATGTATATCGACGAATAGTAATGAAACTGAGTAATAATTTAATATTTAACATGATATATTAAAAAAATTATAAAATTAAAATATTAAAAATGTAAGAAAACCGAGTATACATTTTGATTTAATAAATAATAAATCTTGTCTTTGTAATCTGCTAAGAGATCATTCCAAGAAATGCATAATGCACACATACACGGGCACACACAAGGAAAACCAAGACAATAAAATCACGAAAAGTTGCATAAAAGGCAAGGAACGCGTGGAATGCCGTTCATGGATGAATATTCAATACAGAGCAGTTCAGCCACAGTTCCTGGACTGCATCTTATAATAATTAACAGGTTTCATAATTCTAGCATCTTCTCTGTAGGTTTTTAATTTTCTTGTAGGTTATAAATTTTAACGCCCTAGAACTAGGATTGTTTGATTATAATGATAAATTCAAACGAAATAAAATAACGGAAACAAAGAAAATATCTAAACAGATGGTTGATTCACGTGTATCAATTCCAATTTGAAATATAACGAATTAGATAGTGGCTTAGTTCTCTTAACTAAATATTTTCAGTCTTCCATGCTTTTAACGCTTGGACTGCGCGCGCATTTGGTATAGGCCCTTCTAGCAGCAGATAAAAATCGCTGAAAATCTTGTGAAACTTTTAACTACTTATGTTTCAAATCATACATTAATAGCTTCAGTGTTTTAAACACTTTAATCGTGCAAAATCTTATTTAAGAATTAACGTTACAGCTCAAGATCTTTTCTTTTGCAATACGTTAGTACCAAGTAAGCTTCACAGAGGTCTTTTGCGTCTTACTTTCCTTGTCTAAGACAGTGCGCGCCAATCTTCCCTCGCAAGTGACTGGACATCACCTACTCCTGTGCATCGTCTCTTGTTTTAAACGCAAGCTAGAAAGAGAAAGTTACATCACAGGCATGAAGAAGACCCTTAGAAGTACTTATGAGCAAAATTAATTAATATTTAATTACAAATTTCCACAGTGCAATATCTTTATGCTCATGCTTTGCTTTACAAATTGTTTTTAATCTACTTTAGTTAATATTAACCTCTAAATAAAGTTTTGTTATTTCTTCTGTATCTGATTGTTTTATTTCGTTATATGTTTAATATTTGTCACTTCATTGCAAATTATTTCTGATTTATCTTGTCATTCCTACGGGATCTCTAGTAATTGAGATTATATCTGTATATGGATCGATTCAACACGAGACGACTAGTCATTTTAATTTCTCGTTCGATTTATGATATTCGATACGTTGACGCTCGAATACAGCCAATAATTTGAAAAATGTTTTTGCCGTGTGTACTCTCACTGAGGAGATTTCTTCCTGGAATTCTCAACGATCATGGCTACTATTTGCGAAGGAAGATTTGATTTCCTTTAGCCGAATTGTTTCGCGTAGCTGAGGCGGTGTGCGTGTAACGGTTATACGTGCGTGTGCACGCCATGCTGCCATTATATATATAGTTTTTCAGTGACGTAAAGGCTGTAACACACGTCGTCATGAATAGGACGGCCCACGCGAAAACACACATTTCTCGAAATGGCGTGAATTATCGTAATACGAATGTATGAGTTGCAACATTAATAACGAATTTTCTTCTAATATTGTAAAATACAGTTACGGCGGACGATTCGTATTTATATAATATTCACGTATGTAATCAAACATTATAACGTGCATGCCTTTTAATACATTTCAGTGGGATTGTGCAATTTTTTTGCAATGATAGATAATCTTGCAAATCCGATGGAAGTTCAACGAAATGTTAAATTTACAAATGCACTACACGCTTAGTTTTCGTTTTAATACAATTTATCTGTATAATGTTGCTATGTTCGACAACAAATGACAAGCTTTTTGCGACTTACAGATGTAGATCGCTTTAACTCGCTGAAAGAGCAGATATTCACAGCTTATAGAGCGACAAACTTTAGTCTATATAGAAAAATACAAATTTCTAATCCTAGTACGTCTTTTGAGGTCTTTTAAATTTTCCAGAGATTGTGGTTTAATAATCGTAAAGGAATGAAAAAGTAAACTGTAATTAATACATAATTAAAAATAAAATTTCTGACATTAGACCTCAGAAGTCGCAGTTTAAAATTACCAAAAAAAAAAGTCAGAAAAGACAAACAGAATATAGATTCCTATATCTTTACTTTAATTTTTCGTTTCCAGGTATTTCCATTTGACGACGATAATTTTGGAAGACGAAGTGACATCCGTGCTCACCTTGATAACCTAGCAGCCCGTCACCCGGAATTCGCAGACCATTTATTGGGCCCACCGTGGGGTGACATACCCTTCCACGGCTCTTTCCGTAATCGGAACCGTGACTCTGGAAACGGAGGACGCAACAATCCTCAACAAGGGTATTCCGACGAGGACGCAAGAAGCCAGGCAAGCGGAAGTAGCGCTGCCAGCGGAACTAGTGTCTCCAGTTCTCACGGTGAATCAGACGTTAACCAGAATCAACAAAATAAATCTTCAAACTTCGAGCAAAGTAATAGGAAAGGTCAAATCCCGCAATACGGATTACGTAATACTGTAGATATAGGTCAGCACCATCACAACATGGAGAATCCAGACAGAGGAAATCGTGGTCAACGTTCTATGTCCGCACCTCCTGAGAATAGACAGTCATTTAATCAGCATCAACCACAACAGCAAGAGCAACAATCAGAGCAACAGTCTCCGCAGCAGCCTCAGGGACAGAGGTACGTTTCCAGGATAGATATAACGCCACAACATAATCAGCCTCAGCAGCAACAAAAGGTACAGCAGCAGCAGCAGCAGCAGCAGCAGCAATCGCAGCAACAACCTCAAGCACAGCAAAAGTCTCAACAGCAAGGCAACGTTAGACATATTCCAATTTTCGTAGAGGGTAGAGACGAGCCTGTATTTCCAAGGAGTTTCGATGAACCGTCGACCTTCCGAAGGGAACCTTCTCCAACACAATTTCATTCTCCACCGCACTTCCAAAGACCATCGCCATTTGGTCAGCACTTTTCTGGAAGACATCATCAATGGCCTCCACAGTTTGAAGATCAGTTTTATCAATCACCAAGTTCATTCGAACATCCTTCTAGGAGACAGCAACCGACCCATACCTTCCAGCAACCTAGGCAACAGCAGTATACTGAAAGGCAGCCTCAGCAGCAACAATATAGCGAAAGACAGCCTCCGCAACAACAATATAGCGAAAGGCAGCCACAGCAGCAATATTATGAGCAGCCAAAGCAACAGAGGCCACAACAAACTCAGCAACAGCAGCAGCCTCAAGAACAACAAGAATTACCAAAGCCTAAACCTAACGTTCCAAAGGATCCTTTAGAAAGAGTAGCCCTTGTCCAGAAAGAGGTTGATTCCCTAGCTGAACAGGTTAAGCAGTATCATGGAAATTCCAGAACAGACAAAGAGTATATTTATCTGGATGAAATGCTTACTAGGGAATTGATAAAATTAGACGATATCGAGACAGAAGGTAGAGATAACGTTCGACAGGCGCGTAGAAACGCAATAAAAAGTATACAGGAAACGATTAGCTTACTGGAGTCGAAGGCGCCGCTTCCTTCGCAGCAACCATCATCTCAGGAACATGAAAAGCAAGAAGATCAAGTTTCTAATGTTACCAAGGAAGCCGAACGGACAGAATCCATGGACGTGGATCAGAAATCAGAAGACCAGTCGCAGAATAAGGAAGCTATTCCTCTACCCCCTGGTCCATCATCTCCAACGAAGAAGTCTGAAGAAATCGCACCTTCTACGGAGAAAATAGAGAGTATTGGCAATGATAATGTTCCGACGAATCAACAACAGGAGCCTAGCCAGACTGTCGGCAATCCTATGGACACAACTCCAGCAGAAAAGCAGGAAACGCCAACGATGGGTGCACAGCAGAATTCAGAAGAAGCGAACGTAACTGAACAAAAGAAATTGGAAAACGTTCCAGTTGAAAAACAAGAAAACACCACTGAGGAGAAACAAATAGATGTTTCTGCTGAAAAGTGCACAGATAACGTTCCTGTTAACGAAGGAAAAATAGAAAATGCTTCAGAGAAAGTTCCAGAGGAGAAGAAAACAGAGAATACTTGTAAGGAAAAGAAAGGAACTGCATCCACAGAGAAGAAGAAAACCGAGAACATTTCCAAGGAAAAGAAGTCTGAGAAAACTGACAGTAAACAGCCTGTCCAAGAACAACAACAGAAAACGGAGGAAAAAATGGAAATGGACAGTAGCGAGATAAGGCAATCGCCCAAGTCACGGAAGAAAGGGAAGAAGACGAAGAAACAGGGTCCTGTGTCTGACAAACCCATACCATTGCCAGCTCCAGAAAACACTGAGGCCAGTGCAAAGTAGGATAACAGATAGAAAGAAACACAGAGTTTCAATTGCACCAAGAGATGCGTTAATGTAACTGTTGGGTTTGCATATCGCCGGGACAGAACTACAATTTTAAGGGCGAAAAGAAGCCTTTCCAGTCTCATTCGAAGAGCCACGAGCCCAGTGGCATTGTTTCTAATCTGTTTACGATAATTCTTGGTGTCAGATCAGCAAGAACGTCGTGGATCGACGTGACAATCGCACAATCGTTCGTCAGCATGACAGGAAACGCTTTTCGTCTTGTTTCGTTGCTCCCTTGTCCACGTAGTCATATGTATGTGTCGAATAATTTCAGAAAAAAGTTCGACAGGAAAAGTGTAGAATCTATTCGAATGAAATTAGAGCGTACAGAAGAATCGTACAATGAATGTCTCACGTTTTGAAGGCTGTCACGCTGTTGCGTTGCATTTGCATAAGGCTATCCCTCTGTTTTCTTCTCATCATTGCAGTGGTTTCGTATGGAATCACATGGAGAATAACGTAGAATACTCACGGAATTGTATGATACGTTTGACTACAATGTACGGTGCAATCTGATTGCACTCGAGGAAACAAAAATATCGGTCCCCTTTTAGAAGTAATTTTTCTCTGCCTATGTTTTTTTTTTTTTAAATTAGTCATGTTATTTATTAGACATTTCCTTTCTCTTATTTGCTCATCGACTGGCTAGTAGATTAGTTGGTAAGTGAGTGAATAAATGTAAAGGAATATGAAAGAGGTGAACCCTCTTATTTGGAGAAAGTCTATGAGTACTTTGTTTAACATTCAGCTTTTTAAGAACCGATATTTAATGTTCTGCGCATTATCGAGTCTGATAGAGAGTCGGTATAGGTAATAAGATTAGAAAGAGGAGTTTAATACGATTACGTGAATTTTAAGTGTATCGAATGGTAGATGATGACGATTATTGAAAAGAAAATGCGTTGGGGATTACTGGGGAATGTTCACGAACGGAACGCGTCTGTTTCTTACGATTAGTATTACAGCGCACGGCCTGAGACGTAATAAAGCTAACTTTATTATTATTATTATTATAATTAATATTTATAACTTATTGTGCGTCTGCTGAACGATTCAAGCACGATTTCCGTGCCTCTAATGTAGTAGGTTTATAATAAAAGAAAGATGATTCAGGAATTTTCCGATTTTTAATAATAACGTGAGTAAAAGGAACTTAATTAACTCGACATAATTATACAAATTGACTCAAAGAAATTAATGGGATATAGTGACGTACTAGTTAACTCAATAGTATTTATAAGGTAACTTAATTATCCTTATGCTCTAAGATTTCCACGCCATATAAGGGTAATTTATAATATGGTAATTTACTATTATACGAAAACAGAATCATGCAATTTAATCTAAAGCAACCAGTTCCTGAATAAGAATAATTACATAAGCTTCTTCCATCAGACTTATGACATAGTATGAAATCTGTGAATTTCTGAATCGCTTTATTTCATCGCCACATGCACATCTTTCATCGATGAAATGCGTGTGGAATATGAACCGTGTACATATTAGGATCGTATGTGTTCGTTTTGTAAAAAAAATGATGCAGCCTGTTCAGCGTATTCTAAATCATCGTCCTATGTTGACGCTATAATTCATTGGATATTTAACAATATTAAGAAATTTCTCTTCTGTAAAAAAAAGAAAATGACCGATACCAAGGCAATGGGGTGCATTATTTTATGGTTCCTTGTTCAGGGTGATACTCATCATTATTCTTCGTCTTTTGTTTCTTTCTTTTTTTCCTTTTCTTTTGTTTCTGTACGATGATTACGTATCCATAGAGATCATGAGCTTTCAGCCAGAAATTTTGTATTTTTTCTGACGTATGAGAATTGTGTGGAAGAAAGAGTATATGGGTAATTATACGGAGAAAAAATATGAGAGAATGTATGGATGAATGAATGATCTGACTGTGGTGGTAAACAAATGGCAACTATTAGTAGAATATTGTATAAGTGCGGCGAAAGTGTAACTATTTTATGAACAAACGCATTCGATTTAAAATACAGTCTGGTCGTTTGAATCATAAACAATGATCCTACCTAATTAGATCATACTAAAAATCTCCTGTTCTCCTGTATTTATATCGAAATTGTCTTGCGTTCACAAGTTACATTATTAAGTTACGAAGATCCATTTGATCAGTTTTTCTTTTTTAAATGATACAAGTCCAATACCGATTTGTAAATTATAGCATAAGTTTCACCATGACTGATGTGTTTTTTTATCATTATAATACAATAGCATGAAACTTAAGGGCATTTTAGCATCCCTATGAATTAATCAAGGAAAATCTAATTGTTATTAAAAAGATTCGCGCGAGTGCTTTTTATAAAAGTGAAGATGAATTTACATTAAATAAAGATATCATTGGTAATTCCTGTTTCCTACTACAACAAACTGTTTTTCAGAAACATGTAAATCTATTATTCAAATATTTTCATACGAGAAAACGTGGACTTCTAGCATTTAAAAAAAAGAAAAAAAAAAAAAAAGAAGAATAAGAAAAAGGAACAGCTTTTTTCGTATAGAATGGTATCAAAAAATTTATTTCTATTACAAATAAAGGAATCTTAGAAGTAAAACAAAACATATTATACAATCGGTAGAAAATATTTAATATAGTGGTACATAAATACAAGTAAATAGGAATAACATGTAAACTTTGACGTAATAATAAATTTAATAAACAAAAAGCGAAGATATAAGTAAAAACAAAAATATAAATGTAAGTACATAACGTTGAATTGTAAAATCGGTTTGCTAAAAGTTTTGCGCGAGAACTGGTGAATGTCGAAATTGGAATAGCGCTTGGCTTGTGTCCAGTATAATAAAACGAAGCAAAAATGTCACCACGTAAAAGATACTTCATTCTCGGAAAAATTGGAGAGAATTACAGGTCCTTTTAACGCTATTTCTGTTGTTACATCGGAACAAAGATAAAATTTCACGCTTAGATGGCTAAATCAAAAGAATAACAAACACGAATTTATTCGTAGATACAAAAAAATTGAATATTTAATATCAATAATATTGCTAAATAAAAATAAACAGTAAACAGATTAAAAAGCGTCCGAAAGGAAATATTTTTTCCGAAAATTCGTAATGGAATGGAAATTCCGGGTACCAATGACCTACTAACAACAACATCCGCTACATGCATACGCATTTTCATTGCCAAATTCCTCTAAAATATCTACTTATTGTTATAAAATATCGGGATTTTCCTTAAAATATTACCTACAAGGAAAATGTATGCCGTAAGTTAGAAAAAGAGAAGTAATGAAAAAAATAATTTTTTTTAAAATTAAAAAAATTAAAAATTAAATTAGATTTTTGCCGTTGTTAATGCAGCAAAAATTAAAGTATTTTTAACGATTGAATTGTCTGCCAGGTTCTTTATTGTAGCTCGTAAGCATCGTAAAAATTATCAACGCGTATTCAGGTAGAATACCATTTAAATTCCATACGCGTTTAATATTTGCGTATATTATTACCATCGGTAACGAAGATAGACTGTTCACGTCCGCTTATTAAACCGATGTTTAAAATGATATAAAACAGATATGTAACAGTGAACATAATTTTTTTGCTTCGCCACAATTTAAGATTAATAATGTTATAAAATTCGCACTGAATACGTCGAAACAATTGAATTATATTATTTCTTACATTATATTTTAAAAATTCTAGTATATCTAAAAAGAAAATAATGTAAAGTAAGTTTATAAAACTCAATGTGTGCTTTAAATGATTTATTTATGGGTTCTTCATAGAGGAAAATATTCGATACAATAGAAAAAAAGCAGAAATTACAAACAGCAGAAAAATATCCATGATTCGATTGCTATAATCCCCCTAAAGCTAAATAAAAGTTTTAAAAGAGTGCTATTCATTTTGATTATTTGATTAAATGATTCTCAGTCCTATGTATGTTATGTAAAAAAATTAGCTAATTTCTATTTATTCTGAGTAATAATCTTAAAAATATTTATTGAAATGGTAAATAACTGCATGTATACTAATGCACAACAAGATGTTTAAAAACAAGTTAAACTGCTAAACAAAGTGATGGAAAAAAGACCAAATGCTTTCTTCGTTAGTAACCGATCCGTGGTCGAAAACTTGGCACGATAGATGCGTATGAGTCATCTAAAAATAGCAGCCCTGCTTAGACTTTGAGAAGAGGAGGTTTTTGCGCCGCGACACCGACTACCTCTGGGAAATCCCGGTGAGGAAGTTAGTAAATGTCTTTACTGACATCTAGACTGTGTCGATGAGTTCATTTTGGCATTTAAACCAAAAAGGTTATGCTTTTGGGACATACAGGAAAAATTCTAGCAAGTTGCATAGGCGAATATTAAGTTAAAATCATGAATTACTACTTTTAAAAGCTCAATGTTTTTAAAAAATCAATTTCGATTAATAATTTTCAAAATTTATTAATTAATTTAAATATCAATAGCATCGATAGATCAAGTTATAAATTTCATCGAAGATTATATATTTATTTTCTTAATGAGACTTTTAGCTTGGTGAAAAAATGATCCTAAAGATGAAATATACGAACGAATAATTTGTTGTCTTTATAAAATTAATTTGTTCCCTAGTAAAAGCGTGAATGTTTCTTATTAAATTCGTTAATTTGCGAATGTTACAAAGTTATTTTTTGTGAAAGTAGACGTAGCATAACAATAATTTCTAATTCAACCGCATTAATATAATCACAATCTCTGTTTCAAACTTACAGCTAGTATGCATACTATAATTATGTATTATTTATTGTGTGTGTGTGTACTTTGTGAGGAATACTTCTATTTAAACGACGGTATTCCTTATATCGATATAAACGTTGCAAGTGATGATGCTAACCAAATATTTTTTCGTAAGAATTACGTGTCCTCTGCAATGAAATTGACACGTGAATTGTTGCGAAGCGTTTTTCTAAAATTTCTATTCATTGCAGTTAATAATGACCAAGATTTGTTGCTGGTTCTCTTTTGTGCTTTTTCATTTCAAAATCGTCATGATTATCATCGAAACAAACAGTGCAATAAAGATCACCGTGACAACCTAAACATCGTTCTAAATTTTCAGTTTGGTCGCACATTACGCAACTAGGTTTCTCGTCTTCATCATCGGTATGCTTTACGTCCTGTATTCATTAATTTTTTATCAGAATTTTGTATATTTAATTTCGTTATACAAGTTGGTTTTACATACCTCAACTTCCATTTCTTCCAATTCATCTACATCTTCTTCATATTTTTTCTCCAATTCTGCTTCTGCTAAAGCTTTAGCAATTAATTTCTTTGTAACATGTTTTTCATCATCATCAACATCATTAGCCGAATACTAAAACAACAAAGATTAACTGATGATACTGCTAATTGTATATAACTTATTATTTTTACATCAATTTTATACCTTTCTGGGTTTATCATTAATGTCTTGCAGAGATCTTAGTCTTGCTTGAATTTCACCAACTGAATCGCTGCCTGAGGATAATTCTAGTTGTTGTAGGTATTCCTGTATCAAATCATCTGTTTTCTGTTGATCTGTTCTGGTATCCACTTGATGTATCTACAAAAAATAAAGTAACTATCCATATTATACTTATGATACAGTAATTTTCTATAGTAAGTTTTATTAATATTAACATACATTTGATTTACACTGATTAGCATCTGGATCTTCATCCTTTAGCAATGCCAATCTCCTTTTTATTTCATCTACACTCAAAGCTGTAGTTTTGTCTTCTTCCTTTAATTTTCGTAATCTTTCCACGATCTCCTGATCGGCTGGTTCTAAGCCATTTTTAAACTTATCCCAATGATTTGTATGTTTATACATTACAATGGGAGGCTTTCCTGGGTTCTCCAATGAATCCAGTCTATGTGAGATGGGTATATCATATTAATTTACATAAATTTCATGCTTCGTTTGGCTAATTATATTTACAAAAATTACATTACTTTTTTTTAATATCTACTGGAGCCATTGGTTCTTCGTGTTCATCCATTTCAATATTGTTATTACAAGCTGGCTTGTTTGTAAAATTATGCTTATTAAAACAACGTCCACAGACTTTTTTTACCCCTTTATCTGGAATATTACATTTATATTTGAGGCATTTACTGCAGCATGAAAAGCCACAGCCTGGACAGGCAACCTAAATAATATTAGAAAAATGAAACATGATAAAAAAAATGCACGTTAAAAACTGTGGTACCGCGGTGAACGTTCGCATTACACAAACTTAGTAAATTACAAAAAAAGATGATATATGATGCTATGGTGTAATAACCTAAATTGCAAACGATTTTACTACAAAAAATGGTGACTTACTTCTCTTGTGAAGAAGGAGAATTTCGTTTGACAAATACTGCAAGACATACTGAAAGTACTTCCAAAATGTTGTTATAATGCCATCAAAAATATAACAGAAAATTGTTTAACATAATCTTCTTTCGAAAAATTCTGACGTAAAACGTCAAAGTTATCGAGACTCGACTATAGTGTTAAATTCGAAGCTAATATATACTCCATTTTAGATAAATTATTGTTGTAACTATTGTTACATTCTCCAAAAATTTAAAAAAGAGTTAAGGGCATATTTGTTGAAAAAGTAAAGAATTGAGAAAGAAAAATTTACATTCCAAAAATACTTAAGATGACTATTTACAATTGTTATAGCAATATTGGACAAATGACTAACTTCAATGGTATTAAACAAACAAAATCCGGAAAAACGTTTAAAACATCAATTTTTTATTGTGCTCAATAATTTGTAACATGTAAATAATAATTGTTTAACAATAAATTTTCAGAATATTAATGTAATAGGCTTTATACCAATTATATTATTTTATTTTATTTTATTTTTCAATAATACATTATTATTTGACATTGGTAATAATCGAAGAGTGTAATTACAGACGTAGTATAGATCTATCACCATAGATAAAAAAATAAGATAGATGACATATCTTTGTCATTTTAGTGTTACGTTTAACGTTTTAATATTCTTAGTCTATGCTAGTATACCGCTTGTAGTCATGTCCTCCATAAAATAGAGCGGTGAGTTTCAGAAATATACCCAACGTAACAACTATAATCGATAAAGTAGGTGTAAATGTTCTTTTTTACTAAAATATTTAAAATTCACATACCCAATTGTATGAAATAAATAGATGAATTAACATTTTTTTTTTCGTCAATGATTATCGATTAATCTTATTTTCTCTATCATACACATTTTCTTATCTTAAAAAAAGTCGGAAGTATGTATTAATCTAGATTGATTGTTAAATTTATTGTTAATAACAAACTGTTCAAAGCATGCAATTATAAAAAAAGTAAAATACTCGATGAATCAACAGTTACTATAGTAGAGAAATAATTAGTACGATCGGTAATGATCGTAACTACTCGGCCGACGTTCGGCAGACAGTCACCGCCTATATAAAGGTCGCAACTTCGTACCGTAGGATCATTTGTCGATTTGATTTTGAATGGAGCAGATCTTTAGAAGCAGTGTTGATAAAATATATGAATAGAATAGACTGTGTGTACTGGCTAGTATAATGAGCATCAACATTGTCCACTCCACCCATACTCTCCTATCCTATTTAATTAGGTAATGTAGTATTATTTAATAGTACTGAAATTTTTCATTATTTAATCATTTATTTCCGTAATTATGACTATAGAAGTATACAGTACATTGTACTAAAATTATATAAGTTCCATGTATAATCCATTATAGGGAGAGTGGCGATCAGTAGTTTATTTCGCTTTACACGGGTCTACTAGTTAAGTAGAATCAGAACTCGGTATTCTCATTGACAATAGTTTGAGTACGGAGATAATATAATAGAGGATGAATGCTTTTAGACCTACAGACCAGTGTTTCTATTCGCAGCTATTTCCACTACGTGAGAACAGGTAATTGGCATTGTTTCCCAAAGATTTGTCCAATGTTGTAATTTTATTCTATACTGAATCGATAACATTGAAAATGATTGTTTCAATGGTACAAGTTCACGAAGAGTGAAACAAAAGATACACTGGACGGTAATTCCACTTTATACTTTATTTATGATACAGAAGACGTTGATTGAGTGTAGTTTTTAATTTAATTTTATTTAACAATTTTCTCGTTAAGGTTTTGAAACAAATCGCACCATAGCAATGGAGACACCGAGTCATATTCGAAGAAATAAATTCGACCAGTCAGTTGTAATCTCATACACAATTGCGATTCTTTGGCTTATTCATTCGGTTGCTTACTGCGCGCCAAGATAAACCGATTTACTAGCAGACAATCGGCTTGACAGTTTGCCATCGGCGAGATCGATTGCCAAGATTTCTAAAAAAAATCACTTTCACCCCACTTGTATTTCTGGCTGAGCCTGTCCACCGGTACTTTTTCTTGTTTTTACGTGAAATACTGCATCAACGTGCAATGATTTTTTCATTGTTATTCGCATCCTATTGCCCTCCTCTTAACTCAATAAACAGCTTCTCTTGGCACGAACGTAATGAGAAGCAAGACTCGCAGAAATTATAACTAGTTTGAATATCTTACTTCTTTATCTAATATCTTCGCAAATAAGAAGCAAATTTCTGAAAATAAGATTTTACTTATTCAAATGAATATAAAGCGGTCATAGAATTTTTTTTTTCCTTCGACAAAAGCAAAGTTATCACGGAAATATCGATGAGCGAATTGAACGTGCTCGTGGAAGAAATTCGATTCAAAAATATGTAGATACCGTTTGCGTCGGCGAAGTGCGATTGTTTTCAGAATGTTCCTTACATCATGAACATTATGCGTTAAAGATCTCGAGATAAATAATTATTTTATGTTCGTTTATATACACTTCCGCCATCTATGGTGGAATATGAACTTTCTCGTTACGATTTCTGACCGACGAGTGGCGATTCAATTATGACAAGCATTTCATGGTATATGTTTTTAGCCACCTAGCAGAAAAGAGATTGGAGAAGAAATAGGTTAATTGTCTTCAAAACACGAGGCCAGTCATTACGCTCTCCTGGATAAAACTAAATAAATTGGGTGTTGCTACAGCAATTCATTTCTCTGCTCTTCTCCGTTATTATTCACACTTTTTCTACGTTTTCGCCGAAAATAGCGTGTGCATTAACGTTTGTTCCAATTCGAGATCCTAAACGAGAGAAATTTCTAGTGCAATGTGTACCTTTTTCCTGAATGAAAGTTCGCTCCATTTTCTTTTCGTCTATGATATGAGATCATAGAAAACAGTTTATACGAATTTCTCTAAGTAATGGTCATTCGTGGAAATTGTTTTTTTCTTCCTTGATTACTAAATTTCAAGTAACACGTAACGCGTTAATTTCAAGATAATTTCTCGTCTTCCGTTTTTTATCGAGATTAAAAGTTTGGTCGAACAATTAATACATTAATACATCTTCGACTGTGCTCGTCGAAGAGATTAATACATTAGCTTCGAAATTTCGTCTCGGACATTGCTAGCGATAGTAAACGCTGATTACATAACTCACGTATAGCGGAAAGCAACTCGCGTCGTGGACCGATTCGTAAAATTGACCATCGATCTCGCTGTTGTAACTTACTTTCAGTCATTTAATAACAGCACATAAACTGCTGCATATTTTCCAAATGCACGCAACTTTGAGAATTCCAGCAAACTTACACGATTTCGTTTTAGCTTTTTATAATCACTGCACTCGTTATAATTTCTTTTGTATCTTTCACGAAAGTATTCGAAAGTCTACGACCCGTCTACGATCCCGTAAAACTTAACCTAAAAATCGTGAAAGTTTTCTCGCGAAATCGCCGATTCGTCAGGTCGGTAACGAGATTCACGTTATCGAAAGGATTTGCTTCTTCGTCGAATTACGATCGATCGATTTTCTTTTTTATCCGACACGTAGAAGATATCCATTTAATTCGATCGTTCCGCTGATTTTACGTGGACGATACCGATGCTGTGGTGTCGTGTGACGAATAGTAGCGGCACCAGCATCGTGCATAGGGGCAAGAAAGTGGGCGTCGTTCTTGTCTTCTCGTATCTATTACACCCGTCGAGAGGTGGGTGGATCGTAGATCACGATGGAAAGCGAATCGAACGTTCGAACGCGCTTTTTACCGGATGGATCGGTTCCACATACATTAGTGAAGTTTGCTCGCCATGGCCTGTCCCCGAGAAAAAAAAAATTCCCTCGTCTAGTGTTGGTAATTACGCTCCTAATCGACTGTGACCAAGTGACCACCAGCGCCACTCTACCGTTCAAGTAGATTAAACTTTCTTGCCTGGTGGTAATCCGTTTTGACGTTTTCTGGATACTTTCGATCGGTCACGGGATTTTCGACGGATATACTGATATTTCTGATTTATTAGGAAACCACGGCACGGCCATAGGACAAGATTCCTATCCCCATCGTGGAGCGATTCGCCTCGAGGAAGGTTAGCTTCTTACAACGCAGTCGGATTGCGATTGATCAGCCATTGACTCACTTCCCCATCACTGGAATCGCTTGCAACTTCTTTCGTCATGGCAATCGACGTACATGAGACCATAAACGACTGTCGCTGATGCTCTGTGCGTTTGAACGTTTCCTTGAAACGTCAATCGGTACGTATGTGGGTCGATCATTCGAGTAATATCCATGACTTTTAACGATCTAATCCTTCTCGGTATAACAACAAACATAAACATTTCATACTTTCTCTTAATATTCCTAATTTCATGGTCGCCAATTTAGCGTCGGATGGCGAGGCATATGAGGACGAAGAACGATCAAAGCAGCGAGTGAATTTCATCGAATTCGACGTGGAACGGAATAACCGAGACAAGGAAGAGTGAAAGCATCATCGATCGGTAAATAGTGATCGATCGAAATTAATCTTTCTGGCAGCTCGTTAACGTTGTAACCGGACTACGCACGGGCCCATGAATTCAGTGTTTAGGATCTTTCCTCACGGATAAATCGTTGTTTATAAAACCTGTTACTCCGTACACGGTGGCTGAAGGAGCGATAGATCTATCCTGCGGTGGAATGAAGACACACACGGCGGAGTGCAGCCACCGTTTACAGTTAGCCGTGTAAGCGGACTAGCAAGTTGGCTCTTTCTCGGCAGCCTCTCGAGCACCCCACAGATTACAAAGAGATTAAAAGCGTGGCGAACGTGACGCGTGTACGGAATGCTCCCGATTTTATCTGATTGCAAGCGTAACAGAAACCTGGGGGTTCCGTCGTAAATTCGCAGACGAAGCCCGAGAGATCTAGGATAGATGGACGAAAAGGATCTTGGAAACCTCGTGAAATCTGGGTCTAGCTCGCGAAAAGTCCATCGACTCGCCTCGTTGTCGCATCATCCGCGTTATTGAGATCTGTGCGTTAAATCGGCCACTTTTGTCTCGTGTTTGATCAAGTAATCGTGGAGAAACGGACCGCGGCGCTTTCGCGAGAAAACTAATGCGATCGTTTAAACGCAAATTGTCTGATACGAACGCTTCGTTTATAGAATAATTAGTAGCCGGTGGGGAGACCCATTACGTCTCCGTAGCTAGGGTCTATTCGCGGCTATTACACGAACCAGTTAAGGCGTTATGCTGATTAGCAGCGAACGATGGTAAAAATGGTAACGACGTACTCGATTATACCGAAATTAATACCCCGCGCGCAACACGCCCCCGGTGTATCGCGCGGACGTTTCTTTCCACTTTCATAATACGCCCGTAATCGTTGCTCGTAAACGCAGCTAATTATCCTTTCTAACGGGGATAAACGTTCCGCGCGAGTTTCTAATCTATTTCGAAGATGCACTCGCGACTTTTACTTTTCTCCGTAACCAGCTACCGAAATGATTCTGTTCCCCAGTGTATACCGAACGCGAAAATAGCCTACAGACGGATTTAGTGGTACGTAAAACGGTCTGAGATTTTTATCTGCATAAGCGGTGAGATATGAATGAGCTCGCGATTACAAAAACGGTACTCGAATTCATTGATTCGCAGTTTTAGCGTCGGTGTTAGGGATGTTGAGGCCAATACATGTTCTAGAGATATCAGAAATGTAAAGAGACGTTAACTCGCAGAGTTCTGTTACCATTGTAATTCGGATAATTGACTTAGGATCGCGAAAGTCGAAAGATTAAAGTTTCATTTGTTAATCGATTCGAGTTCCACGCGTGGAAACAAAATTCTCACTGCCTCTTTCGAGTAGCTCTCACAAATTTTTTGTCGTTTCTGTTTCTTCTTTTTCTCGTTACCGTTAAGTCAGATGCACGGGACACGTTGACGTTCCGTTTTCGTTAATTGCTCGGAATTACCCAGTTCTCACGAATTCCAGGGAACAGGCTTTTATCACCGTGACCATTGTTACCGAAAAATGGTCCCATCCCGCGATTCGACGCCACGCGTTCGTTCATGGTCTTAATTAATCTCGGAGCAACAGCGTTGAGATGAAAGTAAACAACGATTTATCCGACAGGACTACCGTTTCCTTTTTATTAAACATGTATGCGTATTTCTCACGAAAGCAAAATCTTTCAAAGACACATCGTCCAACAGGCTAATTAACGACTTATTAAGACGGAATGGCTGCTGCTGACTAATTGCTTTCGCCGTGACTTTCTCACAGAACAGGAGTTCACTCAGGTCGCGCTGAAGCTGCGTTCGTGAATTCATCCGTCAAACAGCGATTAAAAATCGGAGATCGGCTTCGGGTAAGTAGCAACGTTCGAGTATGTTAATTTCCCTGGTACGAGGCGAGTTCTCGCGATCCTTGGGAGTAATCTTGGCGAAATATTTGCAATTATCGGGTATCTAGAAATGTTTCATCTTTTAATTTCATCTTGATGTAGTTACAGGTGACGATACTCGTTTCCTGGGGAGGAGACGTATCGTTGGAAATACAGGACGAAGTAATCGAGGGGCTCTAGACTCTGCAACACGGTAATTTACCAACCGACGATATCGGTAGATCGAGTTACGAGGTTGTTAAAGCTGGAGGTTGCATATCTCTGCGTTATATCAAGAATTTATCAGAAGAAAGAATTAACGATTAAGGATTATTTACTTCCATTCTAATTCATAAAATTCGTGCTAATGTTATGTAAGAGGGTATATTATTCTGTAGTAAATCGAGACTTTCGCCAGTAATGCTAATATTTATTATTGTTGTAGTAATGTCGGCCGGATCGTAGAAGAAGGTCTGGTGAACGGAGAAAGGAAGAAAGAGAGTATCAGGGAAAAGGACATGCACCGGGACTGGCACAGGTGGCATACACCGAGGTTGGCCAGGGTATAGTGCTCAGCAGCAGCTACCTGTCGGCAAGAAGGAACGTGATTAACAAACGTGATCGATCCTCGCGATGCCCGAGATAATTCCGAGCGGGCAGTCTTCGCACGCACGATCAATATTTATAACGCGTGGTGGCCGGTGCTCCTGTTTCTTCGACGCGTGGAATCTACTATGGCTAAAGCGTGCACGAGCACGACGGTCTCGCGTGCGAACGTGATCATTTTCGAAGCGTTGCGGATAGAAATTGGCCGTGAACGACGCTCGAGAGGGAAACGCTACGATCCAAACGTCAGACGCGACGAATGGCATCCCGGAAGATGGATCATCGATTTCTGGATCACGATCGATTCGATTTTAATCAAGGAAATGAGATCGTAGGATCCCCAACGACTAAATATGCCATATATCGATGAACGATATCGACAGAAAGTTTGGGACGATAGTTAAATGGTAGCCCATGGAAATGTCGCCTGGTAAAGTTGCGATTTATTTAATAATTCGTTTGAAATATATGCGATGTAACAAAGTATTATATGGTGAATTTAAATTTCATTTTCATATTTTTTTCTTTTTTTAGGTATTCGGTAATAAATTTGAGAATGAAAGTGGACCTAGCTAGAAAGCGTTTAGATGTAATCATTAATGGACATTTATAGGATAATACTGTTCAACCTGAATTTTAATCTGTGATGTCCAACGGGTAATTCTCGTAGAGTTTACTTCCTTAAACCCGAATTCGTAAACGAAATTGCTCCGACATCCTCAGTTTTAGAAAATTGTGAGTATTTTTAAAAACGTACGGTTTCTGGCTAAAATAAAGTATCACGTAAAAAGTAAGAACGTTATAGGAGGTTCATTGTTGTCTTATAAATTGGGTCAGAGTATATCTAGAGTTTATCAGTGTTCATAATTATAATTATTTGTGCTTCTGAATAACTATAATTAATCATCCGAATTTGAAAATAAGCCTTCAAGCGTACTTTCTACGTATGTTCTTTCATTTTTACAGAAAGTTTTTCATCTGACACGAATTTTTTACATGATATCGTATTTTATAGGCTTGTTCGAAGAAGAAAGCATGGAACAAAATTGTCGAAACAATTTTCATTTGGATTAAATCGAGAAAATATTCGTCGGTAATGCGTATACGCGATTTTACTGCCACGCAGATATTGCTCGCTTCTCTAATCTCTACAGTGCCGTAGCTATCTGTAATCCCAGTACCAAGAATAATCGAGCTAACATGTAATAGTTTATGAAAAAAAAAAAAAAAAAAAAAAAAAAATACAATTCATTATAACTTTACAGGCAAATGATATAAACATATATGTAACACTTCATCGTATATACAACGGTGTTATTTATTCGTTGTTTTAATCTCCGTTTGTAATTTTCATAGTGGTCAAATTCTAAATAATCGATAGTATATTAATTAATAATAAAATTATTATTAGTGAAGATAAGCTGTTAAATTTAATAGTAAGTATTGTTTACGTACAATTACTGTATATTATTTTATGTTATTGTAAAAATAGCAAGGAAGGAAAAATTGAAATGTTAAAAATGTGAAACGTAGTATGAATTCTCTTAATAAATAAACACAATATATCCCTAATGCATTCCATTGATACAGCAAGTATCCTTCTATAAGATATAGGAGGATGAAAGTTCAAGTGCCATATATGATTTTGAACTGAAAGCTTAAGAAAGTTAATAAGAATACAGAATATGAAAGGAGGTCGTTCAACATGGCGTGACAATACAGACACTTCGGTAGGGGAAAATTAACAAATTACGCAATTTCTGCGAATAATTTATGAACTTTTATAGCTGCGTCGTAAAGTTGGATCTTTGGGCAATATTCTTATGCAATTTTCGTACATAATTTCATCCCAATTAGTTTGTTATAAATAACTATTCGAAGGAAATCGCGATTCGATAAAAATGATCGGCATGATTGGCCGATAAAATATTTAATTACGAACAAAACTAGAAGTAAAATATGAATAAAAATTATATGGAAATATTGCTAAGGATATTGTTTTCACAATGAGTGCATGAATAGTCACAAATTTATTGCATAGGAGTAGTAATTAATGAAAAATTATTGGCATCTTCGGTAACATTTCAAACACTTCGTGGAAAAATGATTAATAATTAAGTAATTAACGAGAAATTTGTAGCTAAAATAATATTAGAAACTTCTTCAAGGATGCCCCTTTATAATAAAATTATAAAAGTTCACAAATTGTTTACAGAAATTGAATAATTTGATGATTTTCCTTTCAAGTCAATCGTATTGGTGAATCTTTATTCTCTGTCCTTTTCTACGGGCAGTGCAACGCGCTGATTGGCCCTAAGATAGCCAATGAGAAAGAATTGCGATCAGCGCCATCTATGAGTTTCAACTGGAAGCTCAAGAAGGTTGTCGAATACCTCCTTGCATGTTCTGTATTCCTATTACTTTATTGAGATTTGTGTCCAAAATTATAGATGGTGCAGATCGCAAGTTTTTCCCATTGGCTCTAGTACCGCCAATCAGAATGAGTTGCGAGCAGCGCCATCTATGATTTTGGACGCGAACCTCAATAAAGTAATAGGAATACAGAATATGCGAGGAGGTCGCTCAACATGGCGTGACGTCACAGACACTTCGGTAGGGGAAAATTAATAAATTACGCAATTTCTGCGAATAATTTATGAATTTTTATAGCTGCGTCATAAAGTTGGATCTTTGGGCAATATTCTTATGCAAGTTTCGTACATAATTTCATCCGAGTTAGTTTCTTATAAATATTTACTTGAAGGAGAGCGTAATTCTATAACAACGATCGGCATGATTGGTAGACAAAATATTTAATTACGAACAAAACTATAAGTAAAATATGAATAATAATTATATGGGAATATTGTTAAGGATATTGTTTTCACAATGAGTGCATGAATAGTCACAAATTAATTGCATAGGAGTAGTAATTAATGAAAAACTATTGGCATCTTCGGTAAAATTTTAAACACTCCATGGAAAAATTATTAATAATTAATTAATTAACGAGAAATATCTATCTAAAATAATATTAGAAAGTTCTTCAAGGATGTCTCTTTATAATAAAATTATAAAAGTTCACAAATTATTCACAGAAATTGAATAACTCGATGATTTTTCTTTCAAATTGACCGTGTTGGTAATGTGTTATTTTCTATCCTTCTCTAAGGATTTTCTATCCTTCTCTGGTGCAACGCATTGATTGAATTGAATTTTGCGATTTTGTATCGGGATAACATAACACGAAAGGAGGTCATTCGTCTTGACAGTTCCGAGAAATTACGTCATTTCCAAGAATTCCGTGGTCAATACTTTTACCGCAGCCGGACAAAATATTTGCCACCGCTGGTCAATACTTTTCCCGCCGCTGGTCAATACTTTTCCCGCCACGGTGGACAATACTTTCCCCGTCGCTGGTCAATACTTTTCCCGCCACGGTGGACAATACTTTTGCCACCGCTGGTCAATACTTTTCCCGTCACAGAGGACAATACTTTTGCCGCCTTGAAGGAAAATTTTTGGCCGATTTCGCGATTTTGTATCAGGAGAACATGACATGACAGGAGGTCGCTCACCGAGACAGTTCCAAGAAATGATGTCATTTTTGAGAATTGTCGGACAGTACTTCTGCGGCCTCGAGGAAACATTTGTGGCCGATTTCGGGATTTTGTATCAGGAGAACATGACATGAAAGAAGGTCGCTCGCCGATCGATTCCAAGAAATGACGTCATTTCCAAGAATTTTCGTAGACAATGCTTTTGCAACTTCGGCGTAAAATTTTCGGCCGATTTTGCGATTTTGTATTGGGATAACATGACACGAAAGGAGGTTGGTCGCCGGCAGAATTCTAGGAAGTGACGTCATTTTCCAGGAATTCTTGCTGAAGTAATTTTTCAGCCTTTGCTTGAATACTTTGCTATACATAGTCTATTCGTTTGCAGGAGTTTTCAATCACTTTACTTACCTTACTTACCTTACTTACCTTACTTACCTTACTTACCTTACTTACCTTACTTACTTTACTTACCTTAATTCATCTTAATCTGCATATCCCTGAATTACTTACCTTACTTACCTTACTTACCTTACTTACGTTACTTACCTTACTTACCTTACTTACTTTACTTACCTTAATTCATCTTAATCTGCATATCCCTGGAAAAGATAGTACTCGCTCTTTGATCTCAAAGTTCAAAGAGAAGATTGAAAATTTACAAGAGATGAGACATACGTGTCTTTAACTTTGTGCGTAGCTCTTAGCTTGGTATCGTTTTGCCAAAAATTATTCTCTGGAAAACTAAAACCAATTACCAGGTCTCACCACGTGGAGGTGGCTACGCATCGAGACCCGCGCATGCGTCCTGCTGGCGCTATCCTTAGCAAAGATATTCAAAGTCGAAACTTATTCGAAAACGAATCTTCGAACTAAAATTTTATTCTTTTTTTTCCTATTCGTTTTTTCACGTAGTATCACCCCCTTCCTGGCTGTACTATCATTTTTCGGGCACTCTGTGTATTTTACTACCCTATCAACATTGAACGTTATTCTAATATCGTTTCTAGATACGGTCCTGTCGAGGAGACTAGAGAAGCTAGCAATGGCTGCGTGGCGGTAAAATAGCGCAGCCGCATTACCGACGAATATTTTCTCGATTTAATCGAAATGAAAACTGCTTCGACAATTTTATTCCATGCTTTCTTCTTCGGAAAAGTCCACGGAATACGCTGCCATGCTTCAAATTCGCGTCAGACAAAGAACTTATTACAAAATTGCGAGAATACGCGTAAAAAGTGCGCTCGGAGATTGAATTTTAAACTTCGACGACCAATTATAGTTATTCAGAACCACGAATAATTATAATTATTCACATCGATCAACTTCGGAGGCTCTCACCTAACTTCTAATACAACAATAAACTTCCCAACTTTCTTACTTTTTACATGATATTTAATTTTAGATAAAAATCGGGCCTGCTTAGAGAAACTCGCATTCTTCGAAATCTGTGTGCGATACAGAAATCTCGATTACGGATTCGTGTCGACGAAAGTAAACTCTATTAGAATCGCTTATTGGACAATACAGATTCGAAAGAAGATTAAAATTTATCGTGTAGTGCAATTAGACGAAGCTGAGAGAATAGAATTTCTGCAAATTATTTGGAAACGAGATAAAACTGTTGGATTGTTCGGAGAAGCGCGGAGAAAAATTGCCAAGGATGCGCGATAAGGGGGGTTAATAACGTAGGGGGTGCTACTCCCCCACTGTTGTCCTTGTCGTTCGGTCACTGGAATATCTTCGACGTGGTGGGGATACTAGAGGGATCGAGAGGAAACGGAGGGGATGCGTTTCGTGGTGGGCCTGCGCCCGAAGAAACAGTGGGCTTCTTGTCGGCAACGCGCAGTAGATTCCGATACGCAGGGCGACGCGATTCAAGATAAAGATTCCTCTCACAAGGAGAAGGAAGGTTGTGCGTGGTTTCGAATTGCTTCGTTTCTCACCAGCAGATTTGTATTATAACGCAGAATCGTGCTGAAAAACCGCGGTTCTTCCAAACTTGTCTGTTACGTAGCTCCGTAAAGATGTAATCTGCTTAGAATAGATAGCACTTACGACACTGCTGATCATTCGAAAATTACCAGCGAAAGCATTACATTAGCTCTGACTTTTTCCGCACTACGAATGCGAAAAAATGAACGTTGCTTCCTACAATAGAACTTTAAACACCATTTTCCCTACGTGCTCTTCCTAATCGTGAGAGAAACGAACAGAAGTCAACGATGAATTTTTCCAGAAGCCGCACCTCCACCTCCGACTACTCGAGTAATTGCAGAAACTTACATCGAGACCGGTTCACAATAGAAAAGTAAGTTATAGCCTCGGACATGTGGATCTGTTGGTCGTGTAATCACGGTGCTTACGCAGTACTGAGTCATTTCGTAGATTCCCTCACGCTGATACAGATTTTATTCTAGGAAGGTAGCGATTTCCAACTTATATCTTCATATTTATATAGAACGTATGGGAGGTGCTCGTTTGTAACGAAATATCGCGCCCATTTTTCCTACACCTTTCTTTTCCTAGTACCATCCTTAACCCTTTTACTGTTGACTTAAGAAGAAAATAGCAAACGCCCTGTCCCGAATTAATTTAACAAATTGAACGAAATTTCTCTCTTATCCTAAGA